GGGAAGAGGCCAGGGTCTTGGAGTGCGTCTGGGAGAAGGGCTTGGGGCCGGGCTGCAGGATCCAGGCTTTTGCACGCCCAGCTGAACCTGCCTCCCCAGGCAGCTCCCAGGCCCCCTGGCTAACCAGCTAATTGGATAATTAGTTCTGACAACCTCGGCCCTGGGGAAGGGGCCAAGGACCCAAGGCTGGAGGCACTCCGGGCCAGGCCTGAGAGAAGCAAAGACGGAAGCCGAGGCCCCCTCAGGGTGGGACAGCATCTGCCTTGTTGATCTCCTCCTGCTCTGTGGGGAGCCCTGGTCCCCAGCCCTCCCCTCTCCCCTGGCCTTGGGTGGGCTGAGGAGGGACAGAGCTGGCCTGGTGGGCCACGTGCCCAGAGACTCTGGCACCAGGGCAGGGCAAGTCCCATTGTGCCCTGGAGGCTCCTCCCCCAACTCCCCTTGAGTCCTGTTAGAAAGAAGGGTGACCAAGCTTCTGGAGCCACTCCCCCCCCCCTCCTGCTCCCATCTGTCTCCAGTTCTCACAAGGAAACACCCAACCACCCCCAGCCCTCCTGCTGGACACCCTGGACACTGCTTTGCACAGGCATGTACACACACACACACACACATACACACACACACACACACACACACACACACACACGTCCTGCCTCTCCCATGCCTGTCCCCGAGAGGCTGGGAATTGTCTCCAGTGCCCAGGGCCCTTGGGGCACAGAGAGCACCCTCCTGGGGAGCAGGGCAAAGGCAGCTTGCATAGGGTGGCACTTCTTCTTATAAAAGTACCATCCTGGGAGCCCTGGGCCAGGAGGCCTCAGCCCTGGGGAAGTCCACCTCCGCCCAGGGCCCTGGCCACCTCTGTCAGCTCCTGCTCCCTCTCTGCTCTGAGGCCTGAGTCCGGAGAAAGTTGGTGGATAGAAGTTTTGTATGTGTGGTTTTGAGGTTTTGTTTTTTCCCTTTTCCTTTCCCTCCCTCGGAAAAAGAAAAAAAAAACAACAGCCAAAAACTTTGTCAAACTGCAAACTTCAGAGCTCCCTAGTGGCAAGGAGGGGAGGGGCGGGGAACTTCAGCCCCCTCCAGCTTCCCACCCCTTTTCCCCAGAGTCACGTCTGACCCGTCTGGTTTCCAAGAGCAACCAGACATGATGTAACACCCAGATGAACTTGAACTTGGGGGTGTTGAGAAGAAAAACAATGGCTCCGAGCAGGGGCTGGAGCCAGCCCCCTCCACTCTGTGCCAGGGAGCCCGGGAGAGCCCTGCTGGCAGAGGGCGGGAGGGGGTGCCAGAGGAAGGCACCTCTGCGGGCCTCCCTCCCAGCTCGGGGCTGGCACCGGGCTGCAGGGCTGAGCTGTTCCCCTGCTTGCTTGCGTGCTTGCTTGCTCTCCGGGACCACAGCCTCCAGCCCTCCCTGCTCACCCCATTTCCGCCTCCGAGTGCTTTCCCTTCTGCACTTTCTCTGCTCTCTTTGCTTGGACGGTGGGGCCAAGGCAGAGTATGAGGCAAGTTTTCCTCCCCGTTGTCCCCAAAAGGGGCCTGGGCCTTGGCCGGGAGCAGGCAGGTGTGCATGGCGGCGGCGGCGGGGGGTGCCTCAGGCAGGGCCTGGGGGCAAGCGGTGGCTGCAGCGGGTGGGCACCAGGGGTGCCGTGGGGGTCGGTTTCCACAGTAACCAGTGACTTTAGCTGATCTCTGGAGCACCAGATGGAGAGAGAACAATAGAATGAGGGAAGAAAAGAGAATTTTAGCAATTTTGTCATTCCCTGGGCAGCGCTTTTTACTTAGTTTTAATCAGTTTTGGACCTGGCTCAGGAAGCAGGGAGGGGTGAGCAGAAAAGCCACTCTGTGGTTGGCAGCAGATCCCTGTTCCTGGGGCCGGTGAGGAGGTGCTGGGGACCCTGCTGGAGCTGCCTTTGTCCCTAACTCCAAGTCTTCCTCCTCTGAGGGAGTCCCCAAGTTTGAGCGCTGGTGGTTGTCCCCCCTGCTATGCAACTCGGGAGACCCTAAGCAGCGGTTCTCAACCTGTGGGTCGAGACCCCTGAAAATACATCCTGCATAGCAGATATTTACATTACGATTCATAACAGTAGCAACATTACAGTTATGAAGTAGCCACGAAAATAATTTTATGGTTGGGGGTCACCACCACATGAGGAACTGTAGTAAAGGGTCGCGGCCTTAGGAAGGCTGAGAACCACTGCAAGGGTCCAGCTTAGGGCTTTGGCTTGGTCTGGAAGGGACCTGGTTGTCCCCAAAACCTCTTGTCCTTCACAGGGAGGGGCAGGGGCAGGCTCACAGCTAGGGCAGTGGGGTAGGGTTCCAGTGTAGCCTCTCTTTGGGAAGAGGGTCCCAGAGCGCATCAAGGTCGGGGAAAGGGGGTCCCCAGGCAGTTTCTCCAAAGGCCAGGACAGGAAGCCCAGGAGCTGGCCACTGACCCCACCCCCATCCCCCGACTGCCCATGCTGGGGATGCTTCATTTCCCCCACAACTTGCCAGCCGCCCCCCCCACACACACACACACACACCATGAGCCTCCAGTTGGTCTTCAGTCGATAGACGGGTCGGACTCCGGGCAGGTCTCCCCTGAGCGTGTTGTCCAGCATGTGGCAGGAAGTGTAGCATCTCTGCCCACCCAGTAAACACCAGTAGCATCCCAGTCACTATGACAACCCCAACCCCCACTTTTCCAAATGCCCTCCAGCTGCCCTACCCAATGAGCTAGCCATGGCCACGCGTGGCTGCTTAAATTTCAATAACTAGAGAAAAGTTTAATCCTTCCATTACACTAGCCACACTTCGGGTGCTTAGAAGGCACATGTGGCTACTGTCATGGAGAGCACAGAGGCCGTTTCCACTGTGAAGGAAGTTCTAGGTGATCTCTGAGGCCTTTTCTAACTAAAACTCAATGTCTCCACCTCCCAGTGGACAATAGCCTGCGATCCCAAACCAGAGCCTGGGTGGGGGTTG